TCTTCATATTTGTAAACTTTGTGAAGCACCCTTCATCCTTGGAAGAAAAGCTGTTCTAGATTCTCATTGGTGCTGATCATTGAAAATTGACCTTCAGTGTTGTTAACTTTTAACTATAGGTCTATTTTAAGTCTATTGAGCCAAGACTTTCCCTTGCAAAGCAAAGGTTAAAATGTAATGTGTGCCCACTAGCTTTACATGTCTTTCATTTCCTCTCCCTGCTGCTCTGCCTGGCAGCAGGAAAGGAGGTGAAGAAGTCCACACTGTCAGCTTACACAGGGCTGGGGGCTCTCTACCCACCTCTATTTTATCTCCATGCCTGAGCAGCTAAGCACACACGCTATCACATGGGAGGAAAAGGTGTGAGCTGCATGTGGGACTATTTATATTCTTTAAAAGCCTATACCCATCCCAAGTTTAAACTTGTCATAGCACCAAGGTGATCTTCACTGTGTAGCCCATTGTCTTGCAGATTATTCTTCAGCACATGCATACCACAATCTCCAATAATTCATAGAAAGGCCATCCACTGTCCCAACAATCTGAATCTGAGAAGTTGGATCATAGGGGTGTATCACTGAGATTCTATTAAAGCAGATTTAATATTTGCTAATCTCCAGCAACTCCCTACCAGATAATGGTTCTTTGTGAAATGTTCCATTCTAAACACAGGAATATATTGAACCAGGGCTCTGCGGATAATCTGCCATATGAATGGTCACCCTTTATGGTGATTATAGAATGGACTTGTATATGAAGCCTGTACTATTACCACATGTGCATGTGTTCTTCCTCCAAGGGATCCTGTTGGCCAAACTTGACAGGGCTGTGTAACCTCCTGCTAACACTACCTTTTAAAAGGAATGTATATGGTGAGATTTTTTGCTGACTTTTATGTGCTGGAGATTTTCTATATGTGGCTATTTTGCCTACTGCTTGATGGTGGAGACAGATAAATGAAGACCTTGAATGCAACTTATTCTCCCTTGTTTAATTGAGACCACGTGTGTGTGTGTGTGTGTGTGTGTGTGTGTATACAGTGGGGCAAAAAAGTGTTTAGCCAGCCACCAATTGTGCAAGTTCTCCCACTTAAAAAGATGAGAGAGGCCTGTAATTGGCATCATAGGTAGACCTCAACTATAAGAGACAAAATGAGAAAAAAATCCAGACAATCACGTTGGATGATTCGGAAAGAATTTATTTGCAAATTATGGTGGAAAATAAGTATTTGGTCAATATCAAAAGTTCATCTCAATACTTTGTTATATATCCTTTGTTGGCAATGACAGAGGTCAAACGTTTCCTGTAAGTCTTCACAAGGTTGGCACACACTGTTGCTGGTATGTTGGCCCATTCCTCCATGCAGATCTCCTCTAGAGCAGTGATGTTTTGGAGCTGTCGCTGGACAACATGGACTTTCAACTCCCTCCAAAGGTTTTCTATGGGGTTGAGATCTGGAGACTGGCTAGGCCACTCCAGGACCTTGAAATGCTTCTTACAAAGCCACTCCTTCGTTGCCTGGGCGGTATGTTTGGGATCATTGTCGTGTTGGAAGACCCAGCCACGTTTCATCTTTAATGCCCTTGCTGATGGAAGGAGGTTTGCACTCAAAATCTCACGATACATGGCCCCATTCATTCTGTCCTGTACATGGATCAGTCGTCCTGGTCCCTTTGCGGAGAAACAGCCCAAAAGCATGATGTTGCCACCCCCATGCTTCACAGTAGGTATGGTGTTCTTTGGATGCAACTCAGCATTCTCTCTCCTCCAAACACGACGAGTTGTGTTTCTACCAAACAGTTCTATTTTGGTTTCATCTGACCATATGACATTCTCCCAATCCTCTTCTGGATCATCCAAATGCTCTCTAGCAAACTTCAGACGGGCCCGGACATGTACTGGCTAAAGCAGGGGGACACGTCTGGCACTGCAGGATCTGAGTCCCTGGCGGCGTAGTGTGTTACTGATGGTAGCCTTTGTTACGTTGGTCCCAGCTCTCTGCAGGTCATTCACTAGGTCCCCCCGTGTGGTCCTGGGATTTTTGCTCACCGTTCTTGTGATCATTTTGACCCCACGGGGTGAGATCTTGCGTGGAGCCCCAGATCGAGGGAGATTATCAGTGGTCTTGTATGTCTTACATTCTCTAATTATTGCTCCCGCAGTTGATTTGTTCACACCAAGCTGCTTGCCTATTGCAGATTCTGTCTTCCCGGCCTGGTGCAGGTCTACAATTTTGTTTCTGGTGTCCTTCGACAGCTGTTTGGTCTTCACCATAGTGGAGTTTGGAGTGTGACTGTTTGAGGTTGTGGACAGGTGTCTTTTTATACTGATAACAAGTTCAAACAGGTGCCATTGATACAGGTAATGAGTGCAGGACAGAGGGGCCTCTTAAAGAAGAAGGTAGAGGTCTGTGAGAGCCAGAAATCTTGCTTGTTTGTAGGTGACCAAATACTTATTTTCCACCATAATTTGCAAATAAATTCTTTCCAAATCAGCCAATGTGATTGTCTGGATTTATTTTTTCATTTTTGTCTCTCATAGTTGAGGTCTACCTATGATGCCAATTACAGGCCTCTCTCATCTTTTTAAGTGGGAGAACTTGCACAATTGGTGGCTGACTAAATACTTTTTTTTTCGCCCCACTGTGTGTGTTTGTTTATATATATATATATATATATATATATATATATATATATATATATATATATATATATTACACACAGAATATGTATCTATCCAGTGATTTCTTCTTTTCTTCCATTCACTCATGTAAACATTTATTTTGTATGGCATGTTCTTCACCAGCTGGTGTAATATGCAGCACAGGCTGCTTCTGTGTTCCTTGGATTTGAACATTGTCTCATTGTGTTTACATGGTGGTAAGGATGTGTGCTGCCCAAGTTCACATTGGTAAGAACTGTTTGGCCTATAGCCTTATATCAGTGTGATGCCTATCAATCTGTTTTTATAGATCATTGCCATTAAAACTACGTATCGCTATTATTGTGACGTTCACTTGTTGGCTGTTACCTCTTTAAGAACATATTGTACGGACTGTCCAGTTGCAATGCAGACCTTCTGTGAAAAACATAAATGTGGATGCCTTTTGATTCTATATACAAACCATTAGCACCATTATGGACACCTTTTCCTTACACATGTAGAAATTGGTGCATATTTGCTGAGAGATGTATGAGAATTCTTGGGGGGTCATATAGAAGTGTTATATGTATTCTGTAGTTTGTGACACATTTCTGACACCTTTTGTGGTTTGGCTATATGTATTTTTGGATTTTAGTCAGCTTGTCTAATAAAGTATATAGCTATACCTTTTTTTTTTTTTTTTTTTTTTTTTTTTTTTTTTTTTTTTTCCCCCACATTGTATCCTAGAGCTCAATTTTGTGGCATCTTTATGGGGTCTATTTATTTAGAAAAAATAGATTTAAAAAATTTCTTAGCCAATTTGCCCAGTGAGCCCACATGTATATTTGATTTGTGCGAACTGGGTGAAAACAAATGTTTAGGTTATTTTTTCTTCTGAACGAATGTTTTTATTTGCAGTAGTAAAATACTGCATTACGGTCACTAGATGGAGCTGAGCAGCACAGGCAATACATAGTGGGGAAAATTAATTATTTGATCCCCTGCAGATTTTTTAAGTTTTCCCACTAATTTTATTTCTATAATTATTATCATAGGTGTATTTTAAATGATCGAGACTGAATATCAACTAAAAATACAGAAAAAAAAACGTGATTAAAAATGTTATAAATTGAGTTGCAGCTCAGTGAATAAAAATGGCTTGCCTTTCAGGGGCGTTCACCATGTGATTACATTTACATATTTATTGTAAGAACAAGAAATACACCGCAGAGGCAACAATAAACACAAGAGTACACTGTTAATATTATTCTGTACAAGCATGATATTCCAGATCTTATAAAATGTTTCTCCACCACGTGTGTCATACAAAAACAATGCCCTTGTAAAACATAGGCTGTGCTTGTGGTTAAGGCCACAGACTCCGAACCTCAGGCTGTGCATTGTTGAATTCTGGAAATGCTGAATGAAGGTTCAGTGTTCACAAATGCAGTTATCTACATCTTTGCTTGGCTTAATGTATGTGGTATTCTTACACTATTCAGCAAGTTCCTGGAAGGGGCTTATGAAATTTAATTGAGAATCACAAGTCCTGTATTCGCAGCTGCACCCAACTGAATCTTGTCACTTTCTGATAAAAACTGCACAGTCAGCAGTATTTTCCTGAAAAACACTCTAGGCTGCAGTGAGTAAAAGGAGACTCCGTACTCATTACGGCTTGTATTCTGCTGGATGTGCTGCATGCCACAACGGGTTTTGTTTAGGTCTGAGTTCATTCCCACTTTTTTATATTCATCATATTCCTCCTCTACCAGAGGAATCTAAAATGACCACACTAATAAAGAGAAAGTAATGTAACTAATCTAAGTTGGTTTTAAAGGCTAACTAAACCCAAGGACAGAAATGCACTATATTGCAGCATGCGGTCCTTAGATGTGATGGCTGTATTAGATTTTTTTTTTTTTTTTTTTTTCTCCCCAAGAACATTTTCAGCAAATATCTGTTGACTTGCTTGGAACACAATGTCCTTGTCACTTTCTGTGAGTATCTTTTTCTTAGCTATCTTCTGTAAACTACCGATTGCCCTGCCCCCCATGTAATGGAGATGAAGTAATATGGAAATGTTTGTAGTCCATATCTGGAGAGCAGCCTGGGGTGACAGCCGTGGTTTCCTCCATAGATAGATACAGTTGAACAGTAAGGAAGCCACTCATGGGCAGGATGTGACATTTTTAGGATAACCAGGGTAAAGTAAAGCAAAAAAGAAAGTAAATGCAGTTAAAGACCAGTAAGCTGCAATATACACTATATTGCCAAAAGTATTGGGCCAGCCCTCCAAATCATTATATCCAGGTGTTCCAATCACCTCCATGGCCGCAGGTGTATAACCTCACCTAGGCATGCAGACTGCTTCTACAAACATTTGTAAAAGAATGGGTAACTCAGGAGCTCAGTGAATTCAAGCGTGGTACCGTGATAGGTTGCCACCTGTGCAATAAGTCCATCCATGAAATTTCCTTGCTACTAAATATTCCACAGTCAACTGTTGGTGGTATTATAACACAATGGAAGCAACTGGGAGCAACAGCAACTCCGCCACAAAGCGGTAGGCCAGGTAAAATGACAGAGCAGGGTCAGCACATGCTGAAGCACAGAAGTTGCCAACTGTTTACAGATTCAATAGCTAAAGACCTCCAAACTTCGTGTGGCCTTCAGATTGGCACAACAGTGCATAGAGAGCTTCATGGAATGGGTTTCCATGGCTGAGCAGCTGCATCCAAGCCTTCTATCACTTAGCGCAATGCAAAGCGTCGGATGCAGTGGTGTAAAGCATGCCACCACTGGACTATAGAGCAGTGGAGATATTCTCTGGAGTGATGAATCATGCTCTCCGTCTGGTAATCTAATGGATGTGTCTGGGTTTGGTGGTTGCCTGGAGAACTACACTTGGCACAATGCAGTCAGGCAAGTACAAAGTTTGGTGGAGGGGGCGCTATGGTATAAGGCTGTTTTTCAAGGGTTGGGCTTGATCCCTTCGATCCAGTGAAGGGAACTCTTAAGGCGTCTACATACCAAGACATTTTGGTCAATTTCATGCTCTCAACTTTGTGGTAACAGTTTTGGAGATGGCCTCTTCCTATTCCAACATGACTGCACACCAGTACACAAAGCAAGGTTCATAAAGACATGGTTGAGCGAGTTTGGAGTGGAGGAACTTGACTGGCCTGCGCAGAGTCCTAACCTCAACTTGATAGAACACTTTTCGGATGAATTAGTGCGGAGACTGAGCCAGGCCATATAGTGTATTACGTGGTGAGTTTTGGGTTTAGATACATTTTAGGTTGATAATAAAGCAACATCATATTTTTTTTTTAATTTGTTTTAACTTTGAATATTTGAGTGAACAGTACTCTGGTATCTCATAAAATATGTGCAAATAGAAGCTTGCACAGCAACATCCACACACGTAGGACACCCAACATCACATGTTACATCAGTGATGACAAAGAGGGGCAAACAAAAATGCTGTGCAGGTGCCCAACGTCCTCCTCAACTGATGAGATCATTGGTTGTTAGGATGCCGTTGGCTAGAAGGGTTCTTTGAGTAATTTTTAGGTACCCCTGAAGGCACCCTGGTTGAAAGGCTGTGCTAGAGGACAGAACACCACAGGTCCACAAGCCTAAATGAGGTGTGATGTTTCCTGCTTCATAGATTTTTTCAAGAATCTGCTCAGTGGGTCTAATCCTGTATTTGAAGTAGCTTCCCACATCCTCTGTCTAATATAGTATAAACTTTTACAATGCAGGTTTAAGGCTGGGCAGAGGTTACTGTAGACAGTAGTGATCCATGAAGATCTAGTCTGCATTTGCACAGGTGTTGAGCCACTCTGTGAACCCCTCTGTGTGCATCTAGCCACTATCACAGCAGGTAGTTGCTGGCTGTGTAAACAGTCACGAATCTATGTGGACGCCTAAAGCCTGTCAATGTACTGTACAGGCTTGGTGACCACTGCTTTCAGTACACCACTTGCAATTCCGGGTGCAGCAACTAATAACTGTTAGTGGTGATATAACAAAGTGCAAACAAACTGGGAACAACAGGAACTCAGTCATGACGTGGTACGTCACCAAAAATGACAGAGCAGGGTCAGCGCATTCTGAAGCGCACAGTGTGCAGAGGTCGGCACTGCGCATTTTGCATATTTATTCCAGGCCCATTTACTTTAAGTGTGGAAGCCAGTTGCTTAGTTTAGTAACCAGAGAAACCTTTTTTTTTTTTTTTTTTTTTTTTTTTTCCTTTTTATTGTACATCATGGGACACAGAGTAGGTATTCGGCTTATATGCCACCTATAGGTGAATGCACACCAGCCGACCAATCGGAGAGGATGTCCTCCCCTATATAACTCCTCCTACACAGGAAGTACTTCAGTTTTTTTTTGCCAGTGTCTGTAAGGGGTATCCTTCAATTTGCCTCTGTATGAGGTTGCTAGGAAAGATGGTGTCCTCCTTTTTTGAGCTATTTCCTATGCCCATTTCCACTCCAGACCTCTGCAAAGGAACATTCTGACTGTTTGGAACAAGAAGGTTCTGGCCCTGGATTACTGTATGTCCCTGTCTCCAGAAGTACTGCGATACCTGAATTGGTGATTTGAGGAGGCCACAGTTCAGGGAACGTGGCTTTCACAGAAAAGGGTTCTACCCATCAATGTCCAGGAACTTCGGGCAATGAGGCTGACTCGGAGGTATTGGACATCCAGGCTTCAGGGTTGACTTGTAAGGATTCAGTCCGACAATGCCACGGCAATGGCATACATAAACCACAAGGCGGTACCAGGAGTCAAGGGGCTCGAGAGGAGGTGAATTACATTCTGACCTGGGCAGAGAGATATGTTCCAAGTTTGTGAGCTGTGTTCATTCTGAGGGTGGAAAATTGGGCAGGCGGATTATCTCAGTCGCAACTGATTGCAGGGGAATGGGCTTTGCATCCCGAAGTTTCTAAGGTAATCTGTCAGCAATGGGGTTGCCCAGACATAGATCTTTTGGCTTCCAGGTTCAACATCAAGTTTGGACTTTTTGTGTCTAGGGTAAGGGACCCTCTTGTGATGGGTAGATGCCGTCGTGATTCCTTGGAGCCAGTTTTCACTGATTTATGCCTTTTCTCCAATTGAGCTGCTGCCATGTCTGTTATGCAGGATTTGGGAGGAGTCTGTTCCGATGATACTGATTGCCCGGGCCTGGTACGCAGACATAGTGAAGATGGCAGTAGACAGACCGTGGTTCTTGCCGTGTCGGCCAGACTTGCTGTCTCAAAGTCCTATATTGCACCCAGCTTTGCGGTCGCTAAATTTGACGGCATGGCTATTTGAAACCCAGATCCTAAAGGATAAGGAAGTATCCGATTCTGTCATCCCCCTCATGTTTGGGGGTTAGAAAGGTAGTCTCTAGGAACATTTAGTACAGAACTTGGAAGGCTTACATTTCCTGGTATGAGGTCCAGGGATTTAGAAACTTTTTAAAAAACTGCTTTCCCAGGGACTAAATCGGTGTCCCAATCTACTTGTCCGTCATGACAATCTACCATATTTCTCACTCCATAAGACACACTTTTTTTTTCTCCCCCAAAAATGGGGAAAATGTCTGTGTCATATGGAGCGTCCAGCCCGGTATTCTCCAACCCCCCCCCCCCCCCCCCCCCAATACACCCCCCACCCCCATCGCCGTGTTAGAGTACCAGGCCGGCCACTTGGCTCTTCTGTGCAGCAGAACCTGCTTCTTGGTCCTACTTGTTCCTCGTTCCAGCGGTGTCCTCATCACTGCTGATTTCACCGGTCATCTTCTCTCCCTGACGCTGACATCTTCAGTGTGGGCACCCGGCTGTGAGCCAGGGAGACAGCAGGTGGGGGGGGTGGAGGCTCGCACCATAATGGGCTGTGTGGAAGCAATCCGGGCCTCTCACTCAGCCACCGATGTCGTCCTCACAATGGGCAGGGTGTGAGGAGCTGCAGATCGGAACTGAGGGGTGGGAGCTGGTGATTACCCAGCATGTTAATATGTAAAGACTTCCACTCTCTGCAGTTAGAGAAAGAAAGTGGGAGTCTTTTCATATTGGCAAGCCAGGCAATCACCCACTTGTTAACATAATAACTTGGGCAGCTCCAGCCCCTCAGTCCCTAACTGCAGTTCTTCCCAGCCCCATCTGCTATAAGGATGACATCGGTGGCAGGCTGGAGGCCCAGGAGAGGACATCCCAGGATGATTGGTGCCTATGCTTTGCCTAAAGTACCATAGAACTCTGCAGGGGATGGATTGCAATAAAAGGTGCGCTGTGTTTTGTTAGGGGGTGCTGCGATGTAAAGGGGGCAGTGATTTGAAGGGGAACTGAGGACACTGTGGGACTCTTTAAAAAGGGGACTACAGTGTACTCTAAAGATGATAATGTACTGGGGGGACTGTGATGTGTTATATCGCTAACGTGATTCGGACCTCTGCAGGAAGGAAATTTTGCTGACCGGACCTTCCGTAAATTTTATTTCAAGACCCCTGCTATAGAGTTACTTGAGTGGCAGCTGTGGGATTGGTGATAAAATTTCCAAGATAGCAGTGCCCAAAAGCAGTATTGGGCCTTTTTAAAGGAGAAGCTCACCTTTTTGTAACATGTTACACCAATATTTGGGGTGTAACATGTTACAATTGTTTTGGTCCCTGCAACCTGCCCCGCAATCCCCCCCCCCCCCCCCCGTTGTGCCAGCTAATGGGGGAATCTTCTCTCTCCCCCCCCCCCCCCCCCCCCCCACTGGCTGTCACAATTTAAAAAAAATACAGCTGGAGACCTGCATGGCATCAGTGATCTGCTGATCGCTGGTTCAATGCTTTCCAGGCTCCTAAACAAAAAAAATAGTAAATACACTTTTTTTTTACCTACAACAAAGTGTGCATTTATTTATTGTTAAAAGGTGAACTTATCCTTTTTTAATGTCTACACAATGTAGGTTTTTACTGGTAAATGCACAAAATACATTTAAATGCACATATAGCCTTATGGGAAGATTTTTGTTGCTAAATGGCCTGACAACAGGAACTCTTGAATGTTGTCTTTTTTTTTTTTGTTGTTTTTTTCCATTTGTGGACAGCAGACCTATTGACAGCATATCTGTCACAGCACATTAATGCCAAAGCAGCAACACAGTCATTCTATGCTTTACTCAGGCATCAAAAGTCGTCATGAAATATATATTCACATTACAAAATTGAGCTTCTAAGCACACTATATTATTGCTGTGATTTTAGGATTAATTTTGTTTGCATAGACCTCGGTAAAGTGTAATTGTGCTGAGCTCATCTTTTTCTCCATTTAATATGGTTACTGGCCACCAATCTGTGGAAGGTTGCCAGAAAGACAAAAGCATTTTTTTATAATGATGCTGGGAAAACATTGGGCTGTGAACTGATTTAAAAAATTACTCTACTTTATTATTCTGTGCTTGTCATTTACACTTCGTTAATTTTAAAGCTCATCTGCTGCCAGCAAATGATGGAGGCAGCCTCTTGCATTGTACTATATATTAATCCAACTATAGAAGGTGTCTGGAAGATCATTTTAATCAATGAGAGTGATATTCTGTCCTCAGTTGGTGATAAGTGAAGATCCTGTGCTCAGGTGAAAATACATTCCATGTGATACTTATTCCATTCAGTGAAGTGCAAGGAATATGGTAAAAATGCACACTTACCAGATGCGCATTTTAAGTATGCAGTATTGTGTAAATTATGCAATCTGCCAGAGGTCCCCTTTAAGGTGCAATGGGTATACAGCCTGGAAAGGATCTCCCTCCGGAGAAGGGCCCGGAGCTGTTCTGCAGCTGTGTTTCACATGGAACTCTGTAAATTAGCAGCTCAGTGTAGAGCCAAGAAAGAGGGTGCCCATAGTGTAGTAATTAAAGGAATTTATTGCAGAAAAAACATGTCATCCATGTGGAGAAATATGCATAAAAGCAGAGCTGTGGAGTAATCACAATGACCAGGCAAATTCAGAGATGGCCGCTGGACCTTCTTGAGGCTCTGGCGGCATGACACTTTTTTTTTATGTCAGAAATGTTTATTTGTAAATTTTTGAGGAGTTATTCTTACTTTTAACAGATGAAAGTAAACAAGTGACGTTTGACAGTTTTTGTGTTTTTTTTTTTTTTCATTTAGTTGCATAATAATTCTGCACACTAATAGTTGCCAAATAATTGTGCACATATAGATACTCTCCTAAGAAAGCCATGAACAGCAAGGAAGGTGCTTCTAAGTGCAGTATGCAACAATTTAATAAATCATAAAAGGATTATGAGTGAGTGTGGTGGAATGCACAGGCAAGATGGCCACCATACTTCCGGGAGAGGCGTGGAATGCACAAGCCAAACGTGACATCAAGGGGCGGTATCGCATTTCGCAGCATGCGTGGATGCTCCTTCAGACTGTAGTGTGCTTCCACGCCTCTCCCAGAAGTACAGCGGCCATCTTGCCTGTGCGCTTCCACCACCTTCAGTGTGCTCTGTGTGCTCCTTTTGGCATTCTACTTGATGAACTTTCACCTTATTGCTATCTCGTAAGTGCTTTTAATCCTTTTATGATTTATTAAATTGTTGCATTCTGCACTTATAAGCACCGTCCTTGCTGTTCATTGTTACCAGAGTCTGCTTCCACTCTTGAAGAGGTGCTCCAGTGCTGTGTGATCCCATGTCGCCTGGTCATCCTTCACTTTTCTCCTGCAGGTTATACCTATGCAGAGCGCCTTATCACTGCTATCTCTCCTAACAAAGCCAAAACCTCACTTTTACTTTCCTAAATATTCAGGTTTGAGGTTTATTAACATTTTGGATTGACCAAGAGCACTGTAGTTGATCAATAATGAAATTTAATCCTCAAAAATACAACTTGCCTACAAAATTGTGCAGTGTTTTAGGGTTTGAGCAAAGAAAGTTTTAGAAGTTTGCCTTTTAGAACAATACATGTTACACCCATATTTAGAGTGTATCCTGTTCTAGTTCCCCCTGCCCTCTCCTTATGCCCCCCCCCAACCCCCAACCTTAGTGTGACAGTGGGTGGGGGATCCTCTCCCCTGTCACATTTTGAAAACGGTGCTGCTGTGCAGGGCTCCACCTACACAGCTGTATCATTCATTCACTGCGAATGAATCTGAATGAAGAAACAAGTCCTGTTTTCCACCACTGCAGATGAACTTGAAGTTAATTGAATTGTAAGTTAATTGAACTGTGAGCGCACCGATCGGCATGCTCAAAGTTCATTTACTGTCTACAGCTCTGAAAATGAGGCCAGTACAAGCACAGAGCTGTAGGCAGCTTGACATTACACCCACGATCTACTGATTTTGGGTGCAATACTTTGCAGGCTCATGTTTTAAAAATAAAAAAAATGTGCAGTTGTTTTTTAATTAACTACTTGCCGACCGCAGATAGCCGAATGACGGCTACACTGCAGCCAGCCAGTTCTGGGTGGGCGTCATAGGACGTCCTTCCAGAACGCGTTCTCCTACGCGCCCCCGGCGATCTCCGTGATAGCTGTGTCCTACGGACACAGCTGATCACGTGATGTGGTAAAAGGCCAATTACAGCGGCCTTTTACCACGTGATCAGCTGTGTCCAATGACACGCTGATCTCCGGGAAATGCAATTGCCGGTTCTCAGCTGCACTTTCCTCACGTTGTCAGATCATGAGGAAAGTACTGCCGAGAACCGGCAGTTGTTAGAGCAGGGATCGGCACCAATCATCAGGGCACTGATGATCAGTGCCCTGATTGGTGCCCAGCAGTGCCACCCACAAGTTCCGCCCAGCAGTGCGCCCACTAGCTGCACCCACCTGTGCCCAGCAGTGCACCCACCTGTGCCACCCAGCAGTCACCCACCTGTGCCCACCCACCAGTGCCCATCAGTGCAGCCCAGCGGTTGTGCCAGTCAGTGCCCAGCGGTTGTGCCAGTCAGTGCCCAGCGGTTGTGCCAGTCAGTGCCACCTATCAGTGCTGCCTATCAGTGCCCATTAGTGCTGCCTATCAGTGCCCATTAGTGCCGCCTATCAGTGCCCATTAGTGCCGCCTATCAGTGCCCATTAGTGCCGCCTATCAGTGCCCATTAGTGCCGCCTATCAGTGCCCATCAGTGCTGCCTCATCAACGCACATCAGTGATGGTGAAAAATTACCTGTTTGAAAAATTTTATAATAGAAACAAACTTTTTTTTTTTTTTTTTAATTTTTGGCATTTTTTTTGTTTATAGCGCAAAAAGTAAAGTGCCCAGTGGCGATTAAATACCACCAAAAGAAAGCTCTATTTGTGAAAAAAGAATTATAAAAATTTCATATGGGTACAATCTTTCATGACCGCGCAATTGTCAATCAAAATGCGCCAGCGCTGAAAGCTGAAAATTGGCCTGGTAAAGAAGGGGGTATAAGTGCCCGGTAGGCAAGTGGTTAAAGGTAAACTTACCCTTTAAAGTATAACTAAAGAAAACCTTTTTTGCTTTGGACAGAGTGGAGAAGAACACCACCTTGTATCTGTGCTTCCATTAGAGAGCTCAAATTCTATCTGTCCTCTTTACCATTATTATCAAAAGTGAGTGAAAGAAATAGCAAGTGTTGGGTTGTCCCCAGAACAGTAATAGAGGGGAAAACATTAGTTCTGGTGACAACCAGGAATTCCCTCACTTTTGAAGGAATTTCCTATAACTTTGTGTTTTGGCTATGGGATGGAAAGTGAAGGGAAATCTCCCCACCGATTTGCAAAAAAAAAAAAAGTTATTTCCCTCCTTCTACTCTATTCAAAAATGGGGAAAACCGTTTTCCCTTTAGTTTTACTTTAAGAAAATAGATGGGTCCATTTTAAAGGTGTTGGACAACTTGTGTCACACACTAGGACATTAGTATTGGATTTCTTTTCTGCTTGTTTTATAGCCTTTCTTGCTTCTACTATGATTGCACTATACAGTTGTCCAGCATGAATCTGTGTCCTGGATTGGAAATTGTGCCCACTGCATGTACATCACTCCTATCCTAAGGCTGGAATTCTACTCTGTAGAAGACTATCCCAGAATACGGATAAGCTTTGGTTTACCCTGAGTGGCCAGTAAAGTATACTATGTTTTATGTATTGTGTGCAAACCCTAATAGCCCTAAGCACAATGATGTTTCAGCATTTCTTTTCCTCTTTTTAACAGGAAAATGTAATGCATCAATATAGAGGCTAATGCCAGCTGAAACATTTTGCTGCTTTGTATAGCAACAGGCTTCCTCTTGTGAAACACTGTAGTTAAAACTTCACGTCAGGCTTTTTGATCTGAGTTGATCAACACTGCTCAATGCAAAAAAATGACTATGTGCCATGCTCACACCAAACTTTGTGCATTGGCATACCTTGAGGAAAACTAGGAATGTTGCTTTTTTATACAGTGCCATCTGTCATCACATTACAGCACAGTGTTTTAAATTAAGTGTTCAAGTTAAAAGAAAAAAGTGTGTTATAACCATTCTTTGCAGCATTTGTGCACAGTACACACCAACGTGCATATGTTATGTGTGCCTGCTAGGGTGAACGGGTGCGGTGGGCATTATCGTGCAATTTTCCGCAACACACTGGAAGCCATGGTACATGTGCAAAGCAGCGTCATTCGTTCTGAATGGCGCCCCAGTATACTTTGCAAATGGATGTGTGGCGCGGTGCAGTGCTGAACAACGGTGTATGAACCTTTTTTTTTTTTTTTTTTTTTTTTTTTTTTTTTTTTTCCGTTTTGAGGGTGGGGGGGTTTGTTTTTTTGGAGGGGAAGTGTAACACACTCTAGTGCAGTGGTTCTCAACCTGTGGGTCGAACAACCCTTTCACAGGGGTCGCCTAAGACCATCGGAAAACACATATTTCCGATGTGTAAAGAGCAGCTGCTGTGTAGAAAGCAGCTGCTGTGTTGAAAGCAGCTACTCTGTTAAAAGCAGCTACTGTGTTGAAAGCAGCAGTATTGGAGGTAAAACGACACTTCATGAATTATAATTACTAGATAAATAATTTTATGGTTGGGGTCACCACAACATGAGGAACTGTATTAAAGGGTCGCGACATTAGGAAGGTTGAGTACCACTGCTCTAGTGCGTTGTCTGAGCTGCAACACATAGCTATTGGCAAGGTGCTTTAGAGTGCCTTTCAGAATGAGTAGCGCCATATCACACCAACGCATTGCATTAAATGTGTATGGGCAACTGTTGAGAACAAGCACTTAATAAAACCATATCCACCAATTTGACATCCAATAATTGGTGGCCCTACAAAATATCTTCCTTTTTCCTCTGTTATGATGTTGAACAGAAAAACTCAAGCATGGCCAGGTATTGGAAGGCTCAAGGCTGTAAAGAAATCCTAGTCTGCTGTAGCATGGTAGTTTTCATACTTCTGGTAGTGTTGGGAGCTGCCCCTCCTCTGTACATTTCTGTTATCCTTAAAGTCCAGTTGCTGTATAGTGATGGGACAATGAAGGGGCAGGCCACCTCTCAACACTACAAAGTGGTGGCAACTTACAGTGGCTTAGGATGCAGGACCCCTCTGATGCCAGAGGGTAATGTGTTTTGGACAGTGTTGGGTAGGCAACACTGCCAAGTACAGACTTGTACTTCTGTAAACTGTTCAGTACCTTTTATGCTACCAAGTTGCTTTGTTTTTATAGATTTTTTTTTTTTTTTTTTTTTTAAAGATGGGGGGCCTAAATTGTTAGCAGTTTTATTTAGCAAGGTTTTATTGAGCAACCCATGATAGGGTCCTCAAACATCAGCATGCTGAGAATTGGGGCAAAAATTAACTGCAAACAAAAATTGGGCATTCCTGCTAACTTCTTTTCCTTGATTAAAAGAAGATACTTTGGGCAAAGTACATCTTTTGAAACTATGTTCACTCCTAAACAATGGCATATTTCAGAACTAAAATTTCACTATTGCTGGTGCTGACTAATTAAATCAGCAAAGTGTTGTGGCAGGAATCTGGGCCTGGCATTTTTGTCCTGGTTGGAATGTGTCAACACTCTGGCCCACTCGTAATTGGATTCTGTCTGGTTGATTCAGTCATTTTTGTCTGAAGTTGATCACAGCAAAATTCTTTTTTTTTTTTTTTTCCCCCTCTAATTTTGTTACCTAGCAATTAGAAAGCTTTGACACTGCAGGATGTGAAGTGACGGTACAGTATGACCATGCTCTACAGCACACGTAAATACTTACAAATGTAGTTTTTGTCTTGCAAACAAGGCCTGTAGACATCTGCCTGTAGCAAACACAAGGATTTAAAAATTGTACTTGCCTGTACAGCAGTTCTCTTTTGACTTGATGTGGCTCAATGATGACCTTATTAGTGTTCCCTCTAAAGCAAAGGTGAAATTCCTATTAACCTCCCTGGCGGTATTCCCGAGTGTAGCTCGGGGTAAAATGTCAGTGCCAAAAGCGGTAACCCTGAGCTACACTCGGGCTTACCATGCGGCGCTGCATAGGGAGTCCCTGCAGCACTTACCTTGTCCTTCGCTCCCGCGATGTGTCCCCTGCAGCATCCCCGGCCATCTCCTCCAGCCAATGCCGGCTTCTGTGTTCCGGTCCCTGTGACGTCGGGACGTACGGGCGGCGGCGGGAAATTTGAAAATTTTTAAAAATTTCATTTTTTTCAGCGACAGCGTGAAGAAAGTGCAGCTGATAACTGGCAACTGTATTTACCCTGTGATCTGCTGTGCCATTGGGTACAGCAATCACCGGCGGCGCCGGGTGTGGTTTTTTTTTTTTTTTGAGTGGGTATAAAAATAATAAAATCCCATTTTGTTGCTTTGCAGCCTGAAATGAAGACACTGTTTTTTTTTTTTTTTTTTTTTTTTTTTTTTTTTGCCAGGCCAATATTTTCCAGCTGTATTTGTAACTTTTATATCCAAGTGAAAAATACAACACCAACATGTCAGAAAAAAAATTAAAGAAAAAATTTCAAAGACAGAATCAGTGAGTTTGAAAATGGACTTGTAAACGTAATCAGGTGTAGCTAATCTTCTCAATGGCACACAAAGCCATTTGACTTTCAACTGTGATCAGTTGTGGTCATTTTGATTAGTTCAGCATAAAAAGAGCTTTCCTGGAGCATTTCAGTCCCTGGGATAAATAATTTGACAGAGTGATCATTATATGCATGTGACCACAATATCACAAACTCGCCACAAATGTGAGGGTGATTCTTTTTAATACCCACCGTAAGTGATCGCATACCCTCTGTTCTCCGCTGCATAAGAGGTGGGGAGGAGAAACAGCAGGACACTAAACTTAGCAGTGAGAGGTTGTGGGGGGGTCATGTTGGGGCAAGTCTGATCATTGGTGAGCAGGCTGAGTTACCAGTACAGCTAGAGAGCTGACCACACTGTGCTCTCATGCTTATTGTGGTCAGTTTTTAATAGGAAAGCAGAGGGACTGACAGGAACATCAGGGATTTCATACAAAGAGAGCAATACAAAGAGGACAGGATACTTTGTCATACAAGTTCACGGCACAGCACTCGCCTATCAGGAATATGAAATGCCGGGTTTACATATGCTTTAAAGCATAACATCTTTTTGGCATACAGCCATTTTCTGCTTTTCTTCCTGTATTCTTGATAGACATGTTCTAGGTAGATGAGTGCAGGGGTATAAAGGGCTAATTTCATGCATTGATTAAGAAACTTTGCACCAAGATCATTCTCCCCGCAGAATTTTAAAATTAATGAAATGCAACAGGGCACATTTTGGAGGCAAATTCGCATGAAAAGGCAGTTTTATTCAAACTGCTTAATATGCATTTGATGTAAACAGCTATGCAGCTGTATTTGATGCTGTTATGTACTGCCAGGAGCTTGGAAGGAGCACCTGTTGGTATTGGGGCAATTGATAGTATAGCAGCTGAAAGGGCTATTATCTGCTTTAGTCACTTTCTGCCAAGGTAAGTAAAGCTAATTACGGGACAAATCCTAAGTCCTGCTTAAGAATGTTGCCACCGTTTTATATAATGTCTAAACTGGGATTTACAGTTGATTAGAAATGTTCTGCACAATTTGCCTCATGTATTTGTGGTTAGCAGGTCTGTACATTATTTCCAATA